ATTTGGTTGTGAATTTATACTATCAAAAGTTCAACATGATTTTCATGAGAATATTTATATACAGATTCCATATTATGCTGAGTCATTGCTACTATATTATGCATCTACATGTATATTTTTCCAGAAAGAATGTCCGAGAATTACGCAGTTGTACAATTTTTAATCGATGAAACCTTCTCAGAAATTTCGACAAATTGGGTTCAAAAAAATGAAAGTGATCTCATTTGTTGGTGGCCCAATACAAAAAATATCAGTTCATTAATTGAAAATCGAACTGAACCGGATAAGAACTTATGGTCAACGTTTGACATTACGGTGATCAAATATTGTTGTAAGTTATAGTTTCATAAAAATATTTTTGTTTAATTCCTATGTTTTCAATATTTCATCAATCTTTTTTCTTTCAAATGCATTTTATTAATATTGTGTATTATTTTTGTTATTTATAATGGTAACTATTATTGTTAATTGTTATTATTCTTTTTTGAGTAGCGTCACTTGCATCTGCACGAAAATCAGCTGCAGATGCTTATTACATTACGACTGATGATGAAAAAATTGGTCGAGGACAAAGGACATTAAAAATGAATAAACAAGGAGATAGAAAGAAACATGAGGGAAAAAATTATGATGATTCAAATGATGAGAGTGATAAAGAAAATGACAAGAATAGTAATGGGAAAAAGAAAAAATCAACTAAACATTTGAAACAAAGTAAATTTGTATACTTTGAATTTTAAAAGCTTATAATATGCTGACATTTGAGATGCGTATTTGTATTTGTAATTTACTTGCAGGTATTAATCGTCCCACTTTTAATTCTATGCCCGTATACAATCCTGAAAAAGTAAAAAAGATTTGTCAATCTGGTGAAAAATCTGTTGTATCTGTTTGTGCTTCCAAAAATTTCGAAGCTGAAATGTTACCATCATCAGTACGTTAAAACTTTACAATTTAGTTTGTATAAATTTCTAAACATATTAAAATAGATAATTATAATTTACAGATATCAACGAGTGTAAATCTAATGAAAGGACAATTAAGGAAACTTTATGCTCTAATGAGTCGTCATCACCTCTTACCGTAGATTTGGAGAATGTCCCTATTTTAGAGATTCCATCAGTAAAAGACATCTATGATACTTTGACACGTATGGATAGTAAGTGTGATAAATTATTATACCTATTTATATATAGTTTAGAAAATGTATTAGATATTTAGCAATATCAACTGTGCATGATGTTTGTGCAATCATCCTAAACTTAAAATATGTAATTTTAAATTGCAGAAAACATAGACAAAATAATACGAGCAAATATTACTACCAATTTCGAACTAACAAGTATATCAAAAAGATTAACTAAATTGGAATCTTGTCAACGTAAAGATATAGAACCTGCAGATAACGATATGGCAATGATAATATCATTGCTGCCAATCAAAACAGTAGAATCCATAAAAGAATTTGAAAATGTAATTACATCAAATGAGCTTGCTAAATCGCAGTTTGTAAGTTATTATTTTTTACTTGCAACTATTTCCAAATCTATGTAGAAATTTATATTATTGATATTAAAATGAAGTAATTGGTATCTGTACT